TGCAATGGAAATAAGGTCCACAGTACAGAGGAAGGTTTCCAGCTCCTTAGTGTAGAGCAGGTAGCAGACCTTATATACTAGTGGAGAATTTAATCACTGCAAGTTAATCAGCATATTCAACACTGTAAGCATAAGTCACTCCTCCATCCATTCTGTGCTAGTACTTAATTCATGTTAGGGACTCTCCAGCGGTCTCTTTGCTGCAGCATGAACAGCTCTTGCCAGAACAGCGCGTGACAGCTCACACAGAGACAGATGTCAATAAGAATTAGCAGGAGGTCTGCTCCTCTGCCATGGAGAGTTTAAGCAGACTCAGTTTACATTACTCAAAGTCAGAAGACAAGAATCAGTCTGTGATAGTCAGCTCTTATCAAATCAGTTTAGATAGACTCTCAGCCTGTCCAAGTAGATTTTTTTCTAGGATCAGCAGTCTTTGCTGGCAACATCTACATGATGGTTATGGTTAGTTTGCTCTGCTCTGGGCATGTAGAACCCTATGTGTCTTTTAGCACTTCCGCAGCTTTGTACAACATAATCTGCAATGAGTTTAGTCATGAATTAGTGACAATTAATTACCAAATCCATTAGAATAGATGGAGAAAGTCAGAACTACTACAGAGAGTGTTTGTGCAAAGAAAAATAGGCAGCACAGGTAAAAAAGGTAACATCTTACAATGTCTGCTGCTGTGATCCTTCAAAACTGACAACTCTTCTGTAATCTAAATGAAACCCCCAATAGCACACAATTTCCAGGAGTGATCCTTTGACAGCAACAAAACAGATCTTTTTTGCACTCTTTGCCATGTTTTATTATCTCCCTTCTTCAAGGTTTTCACAGCCCAAGTAGACAAAACCATAGCTGATCTGATCTGTTGTGGTGGCGATAGTCCCCTGAAGGGGAGCTTGGGCAAGACCATTTTCAGGGTGCCTCCCAACCAACATTTCTTTGATTCTCTGTTTGGCAAGAATTAGATACAAGACAAGCAGTGTAGTTTAGAAAAGATAGTAGCAAGAGTCCAGAAACCCTTTCAGGTCTATATGTTAATCCTCTTTGGTGAACCAGCATCATACACTCAGAAGAATATGCCCCAGGAGCATTGACTACATTTACTACAGTAACAGTCTACTAACCCATCCTGAATCACAAACAAATAGCTTGTTTTTCTAAAATACCTCCTTAATTGACATGATCTCAGGAAAAACAGAAGGACAGAAGGGTTCTTCTCCCTCCAGGTATTTTCAGCTGCTCCACTTTGCTTGTAGGGGTCTAGAAGACAGAGGGGAGACTTGACCTCTGCAAGGCACATTCTATGACACGTACTGCTGGCTGCCTGCAGAGGCCTAGGTGCAGACCATAGCATAACTGCATGTATATCAAATGACAGCAACATGGTAATAATCTCTTTCAAATCATGACATATCTCAAACCTAGCAAATCCAAATAGCTTTAATCCAAAGATTACACCTATTATATCCTGTCACTAATCCCTTCAGCTAACTATACAAGCCCCAATTAAAATAACTGTTGACATTCAATTTTGAAGAGTTCATTCCTACTCTCTACAAAGCCCTTGGTGCTAATATGCATGTTCTCCCAGCCTCTTACCTTTCACATCACACTTCCATGCTCTACATACACCTTCATATGGTTCCTTGATTGAGCTGCCTCACCACTTTGCTGCAGCGCACAAAGACCAGGTCTTAACAGCAGTCTCCCCTAGTGTCTGCAACCTGCAGCTGCTGTTGGTCCAGGCTCCGTCTGCAGCAGATCCCAAGGCTCCTGCCTTCCCACCAGCTGCCAAAAGCTGCAGCCAGTTCCCTTAGAGGGCTTTTTCATTAACTCTATTGCTAGCACCGAGCCCAGAGACATTAAGTGCATAGACTTCACAGACATGCTCCAACCAGCAGCGGAGGCAGTTAAAGAGTGGAAAGTGTTTCCAGCTTTTTGATGTAAGAAAATGGAGGCAGTAGCTGGATCTTAATAAGGGAGAGGTGGGTAACTTGCTAGGTTGCAAAGACTAAACAGCATTGAAATGAAATGCTGGGGACTTGGGCTACTGGATCACTCATTTTATGCTGCTGGCTTCCTAAGTGACTGTGGAAGCCATTTCTCTGTACCTTAGCTTCCACATCTATAAAATGGGGGCAATTACATCCTTTAAAATACTTGGACAACTGTTGATGAAAAACACCACAAAAGAAATACTGTTAGTAATAAGAAAAAAAAAACAAAACCTTATAATTTTCTCTTTTCTGATATCATAACACACGTTTGCAGCCATGTTAGCCTCAAAACAAAAGGAAGAGGGTAACTTTCAAAGAACTGTGGTTCCCCTAAGACTTCCATGAATCCAGAGTGCAGAAAACCATTAGAAACCTCTAGGAATGCATCTGAAATGAAGAAGATGACTCTTATAGCAACAAGATTGCTTGTGCAAGAAAGGATTAAGATCTCTAATTTCTTCTACTTTTTACTCCTGTAAGAATCATAAACATCAAAACAGGTTACACCTGTTGAAAAGTCAACAGTGAAGAATATTGCACTGGGAGCTTCTGAAATGCAAGCAGATCTATAAATCCAAACCATGGCAAGTGCAACCATAGCACTGGGAAGCAATGACCGGTAGCTTTGTTTTAATTAGAGACCATCACCAGTTAGGGACCATATACCTGCATAACCAAGTGACTAATGCTTTCCATAATTGGGTTATATATCCTGTAGCTCACTTCCATCCATCTGGTAAGCAGTATACCTTCTTACCCTCAAAGACTTCTTGCATTGCAGATATTGACTTTATACTTACACTTTTGATGGTTACCATGGAAGTGTATGGGCCATAAGTTTTAAAAAACTACTCCTCCCCACTTCAAAGAAACCCTTTGGGAATAGCACACAAGGGGAAATAACCAGGTTTTCGGAAGCACTCACTGAGATCCCTGTTTCCAGCATAATAATGACCAATAAATGAACTTCCAGCTACAAAGAAAATCAAGTTTTGCAAAATAACATAGCCCCACATCAGCCCATTGGCAACAACAGAAACGAAAAAAAATAAGAGTGTTTACGTGGCCCAAGACACAGAGGTAAGGTGTTTTTTAGATCTGACTTAAAAATCTAAACCCTATGCCATCAACATACTTCTCTTTTCAGGCTAATGAAAAATATGCCTATTTTTCAGCATGTCAATAAGCAGATGGAAAGGAAAGCCTGTATTGTAACAGTCCTCAAACATCAGCAGCTTTCCCACTAACCCAAAAGGTAGAGTAGCAAAGCACTGAAAACAGCTTCATAGTTAATTGCAAGTTAATTGATTTCAACTGGATCATCAGAATTGAGCTGGTGCATTGAGTCAATCATCTCCCTTCTCTGCCCTGCCAAAAGTGATGCCTGCCAATTACTGAGCTTTTGGAGCTTTCTGCAGTATGGTAGTCCTTGTCTGGTTGAACTGAGGTATGTGTGTGTATATACGTGTATATTTACCAGAGGTGATTTTTCACACTTTCTAAGGAGAAATTTTGTTTTGTTTTATTTTCCAAATATACCCACAAGCTTATTTGAACATGATCAGCAATGCAGGTTACAGCTGCCTTGACGCTATTCCAAAGCTTTAATCTTCCTAACAGCATGGATTTCTCTACAGTCTTTAAAGTATAATCTTTGGAGGTACATTATTATAAGCCTATTTATCATTCAAGGTATATTAGCTGTTTCTTGTGTTGTATTACTTATTTGTTAGGATTTTTAAAAACAAGTCTTTCCTTTCCACAACCCCCATAGCAATTCAGAAGATCACTCTGATTGAATAAAAAACAAGAGCTGCCTAATTAATAGTCTTTTAGTGATTCCTCCAAGAGTTTAATTAAAATAAACAAGCAGCAGAATCCTAAAACGATTACTTTTAATAAGATTTTTTTTTTTAATCAGCTCATTTTACTTGTAATATTTCTAGTGTAAAGCGGCTTATTTCTCATTAGGCTCTTTCATAGTGCTGAATCCCTCACTTGTCCTGTTACAGTAATTACAGACATCTGTACAAGTTTAGCATAGAGATTTTGAAGTCCTAAAGAGGATACAGTAAGTTGTTTGTATAAATTAAATGTAAGCCTGCTTTACCTTTGGGGAAGTGTTAGTGCTTATTTGTGCAAAAAGTATTTACAGAAGCCAACGAATTAATTCATGTAAACAGCAAATATAGTTAATGCTCATTTTCTGTGATAGGCTTTTGGCTCAGCTATTTTAACTTTCCACTTTGTATGTAAATCAAGTGTTATTTTCTAGTAGATTTAATTTTATTTTTTTTATGTAGGTCTTTCTTACTAAATTAAGATTTAAAACACAAATCAAAAGATTTTTTTAATTTCTTCTGCCTTGGATCCACTGGTTCACAATTTTACTGAGGCTGTTGTAAGAGCTGAATATGAACTGCTAGGTTTCAAAATCAAGCTATTTCAGATTACAGGGGATGCTTTAGAGCTGTATGATGGACTAGAGATGCATCTTCATTAAAAAGGTTTTTTCTGCATTAAGTCATTACTTAAAATTACCTTGTCAGGAGGAAAATGGTAATTCGTAACTATTAACTAGGGAAGTATTTTCCCCATGTATCTAGTCCATTGGAAACATAAACATTACTTCCTGATCATACACTAAACATAAAATTGAAAGTTTCCATACAGTTAATGCCATTAAAGCTGCTGATGCTACTAATGTGTGTTTCGTTAAAGGCTTGTGCAAGGGCTAGGATGACAAGAGTCTTCATTCCTGTCTACATACAGTCTCAAAAAGGCTGCACCCACTGTGTCATCTCTGAAGTTTTGATGGTCTGCTCATTGCTCCCCATTTAACATGTGGTGTTTCTACCATTGCTGATGACCCTTGCTATAGAAGATAAAGAGAGAAATCAGAAGACAACTGCTAGCTACTGAAATTAAGTGCCTCAGGACACTGTTCATCCACAAGAAACGCAAGTGTTTGCAAAAGAAAGGTTTGTTCACTCAAGCAAACAAAACCAAGTTCTGAGTCAGCAAGTGCTTTACTAACTTCAGTTGGTCCACTTCCATGCGTAAAATTGGGCATACCTACAACATGGGGACTTCCACAGTCTGTTGCAAGAGACTCTGAGAGAAACTGTATAGATTTAGTGCAAATGTAAAGATTTATCCTAGATGAAGATTTGGTTGCAGGGCAAAAACCATCTTACTCGTTAAAATGTTCACCCATCCTTTCCCTGGGTGGTCACTAAGCAGCTCAGGCTGAATACTCCTCAGCTGTAGCTTGTTTTATTTGTTAGGCTAGTTTGAGAGTTTCTCTCAAAATCCCCACCCTTCTGCATTCAAGATAAGATGTAGTAACATGGGTTCTCAGGAACAAGTGTGGCCTTGCTGTTTGAGAAGTTCCATCTGTAGACTGCTATAGCAACTTCCATAGGAGGCATCTATTTACCCATTCAGGAGAAAAATCCCCCTGAATGGCTGAGCAACAAGGGGAAAAAAGCAACCAGGTAGAAATTTACTGTGCTGATAGCATTTGTTCTTCTTTTCTTTAAATGTCACAACAAGAAAGCAGAAGGATCAAGAGAATTCAGAAAGGAGTCTTATAACCAGCAGTACTGCTTTGCTCCTGACTTATCGCAGCTGAAAGCACCACAATATGTTGCTTGCAAAGCAGATAAAAATATTTCCTCTGTTACCTTAATGAGAAGGTCACTGTTATTTCAGTTTCTCTGTGGGAGCTACTGGTTGTGAAGAACTTTGCTAATCCATGCACCATCTTGTTTTTTTAGAGCAGGAAAATGGGACTGGGGCAAGCCACAGAGAACCTGCTATCAAGCATGCAGTGCCCAAATCACCTCAAAAGAGTGTCTAAAAGATCTGTTCAAAAGGTAAACAAATGCATTCAAGTTTATATGGACTTGGAAGAGGAGAACGCCTGTGCAGACCTGAGCCTTTCTCCAACTGGCCTTTCCAGGAAGCTGCAGCTATGTCCAGGGAACATGTCACCTTCCCAGCAAGGTGTTTCCTCATCTTCCCAAGTACAGTCTGCTCTGTCAGCTCTGCTACCACAGCTGCCAGCCCCTCCACCCTTACCCCCTGGAAATAAAGTGCCTCTTCCACCACTTCTTGTGCCTGGCATAACTGCACCATCACTCCCACCTCTCCAGCCGTGCAGCAATCCTGAATGCAACCATCTTACTTGTGGCTGTGGGGGGCAGCCTCACCCTAAGAAGACGCCAACATTGAGGATGAAGATATTTCACTGGCAAAAGCTCCCTTCTGATGTGGTGAGACGTACGTACTTCTTTTTATCCCTGGGCTGATTGGTTCATTTACTTCACATCCAAATAAAACAGTACTGTTGAGGGGCTAGGCCTTGACATCAGAGAATAAGAACTTGCTGCTATGATAAAATATATAAACATGCATGTAAAAAAAAAAAAACAAACAAAACCAATATATGTTTTCTTGGGCAGAGATCTAAATTCAGATTCATCCCCAGTATCTTCAGTTTCACTGTGGCAGTCTCTCCTAAAGAAAAAGGAGGCGAGATCCTTGTTGCAGACCAGTTCATGTTTTGAAGTGCCATGTGTTACTCAGATGGCTCCTGATGATTCTGGTAATAGGGTTGGGCTTGGACGTCCCTGTCTTTTGCAAAGAGAGACATTTACCTAATTGGATGCAACATCCCTGTTTTGGGTACCACAACTGTGCAATGTGTAACCAGTCAGCAATAGCAGAGAGAATGTGAAGCAGCCCATTAAATTTATCTGCTGTCTTTGGTTCAGTGAATCAAATGTGGCAATAGTTTTCCAGGTTTAATTAGGCTTCAAATCTTTAGGATGCTATCTGTGGGAGCTGCCACTCTTAAATAATTAACATTTGTCCAGGACTAATTAGCGTTCTATTTCATTCATCTTCTAAATTGTGTGTTCCACAATCACACTGCCTTGAAAGTGCTCCTTTACCTCTGTGGTCCGTCTTGGAGATTACAAAATACTCTTGTGTTGAGTGGAAAGATCTGTTGAACAGTCATGCCCCATGGTTCTTCCTAATGAACTCCTGGCCCATCACCGGTGAGTGTCTTGCAACTGTCCTTTATTGTGTTTCTCTCTTCTAGAAAGCCGCTCCATGTGGGCTGTGATGCCAAGCAGCAGCAAGGAGCTTGTAGAGCCTGACTATGCAAGCTTGGAGCTACTTTTCTCTGTCCCACCAACAGCACCTATGGAGAAAATGAGGCCAAAAATAAAGAAAATAAAAGAGGTACTTGGACTGCTCACTTTTTGTAGAACCAGGCAAAATCCTTGAAATTTAAAAGCTTATTCACTCTTTATTGCTGTCAATAATTCATAATAAGAAAGCTTGAAATATTTTTATCATTTCCTGAGATTATCTAAAAGAAGCATTTGAGAGGTTTAGAATTAAACATGAAGTAACTTTGCTGAGGGACAGGTCTTCATCTGAGAGAAGGAGGACATGGGAATTTCAATATTAACTCTTATCAATCGGAATATTCTGGACAAATCAATTCCCTTCTCTGTGCCTTTGCCTCTTTCTCTTTCTAAAACAGATCTAATGACCTGTACTGTTTCAAATTGCTCTGAGTTTGATAAGCTTGGCAGTCCTGGGTAATATTGATTGGATCTGATCATCTTAAAGGTTTTTTCCAACCCATTCTATGATTTTATGAAGGAAGAGTGTTGATAATGTTATTATGAAGAATTAATCTTGCCCTACAAACAAGAGCTCTAAAATTTCTGTTAAAATCAGGGTATTTCTAGCTCACTGCCTTTTTTTTCTTCTCCCCACAGATTACATTCATAGGTCCAAAAAAGAGCCTCCTTCTGAGTATACTTCTGAAGCAATTTAAGTGGTAAGATCTGGAGAGTTCCATGTGAATTACTTATTTGATGTTGTCTCTGTTTATTGAGACATTAAATTAGGTAAATTTGGCAGAAATACTTTACATTTATATTTTATCTTTCTTTAGCAAGGAGTCAAATTTCTATTTTATTTTAAAAAAAAACAAACAAATGCAAACAATAAACCAATAAGATTTGGCAGTCTCTTTCCAGACAATTAATACCACGTCTCAAATTTTATTAGACATAAAATGGACCACTAATTCCTAAAGACACAATAGTCACAATTAACAGCAAAATCATGTGAAAACATATTTGTCTTTGCTATTATTGACATAAATATGAACTGCTGGCAGCAAGCATTAGTGAAGATTCCTGACTGGAAATTTCAAGTTATTTAATTGATTTTAAAGAGGCATCTCCAGGGGTTCAGATCCAATATGGTATATAGTCTATATCTGCAGATTTTCTATAAATAGGAAACGGTTTCTATAATTAAACAAATGGAAATTTACCAAGTCACAGTCCTTACAGGGAGAGAAAAAAAAATAAACCACCAAACAAACAAACAAAATAAAAGAGTCTGTTCTAGCTTTTGGCAAAATATCTTTACTCCTGGATTCTCTGAATCTACTGCAGCATGTTCTGCGCTCTCCCTTTTCTTTGTGCAATGGCCTGTATTGCAAGGGCTTCAAAAAGAAACTCAGCCTAGAAGCTCCTTTGTGTTAAGAATAAATCTGAATCAGTCAGAGGAATATTTTTATTTTTTATATTATTATTTTCTCATTGCAAACTGCGTCTCAGTGGGGAAAAACTGTGCATAACCTAATCCAGTTGCTATTTCCTCCCTCTGCATGATTCCCTGGGCAGCAGTTAAGCTCTCCTGGCAGCTAGTGACTGTGGGATCAAAGAATTGAGCCCTGCTTGCACTCATGAGGGATGAGGCTGCTCTGCAACTGGGTGCTGCCTCTGTTAGCACTGGTAGCTACCAGGAAACAAGCTCTCCAGAGACCAAACCAGAGCAGTCTGGACCCATTTCAAAGACATGTTGTCTGCCTAAGTTTCAGGAAAGGATTTGCAGTAAAACCTTCTGGGATCTTTATAAATACTTCTAAGCAGGAGGAAAGCCATTGGTTTTAGTATTGGCTTTGCTGTAAGGAGTGGAGAAATTCAAAAGTAAATCTTTTCTCAGTGACACTGGATGCCTGCAGGAAAAGGAGAGCCTTCAGGGTTTGTTGTGTAAAAATGAACAAAGCCCAGAAAGCACATGTAGTTTACAAGTAACACTACTTTAGGTTTAAAAAAATCCTTTGCTTTTTCATATCTACACTGTACTTCTGAGGACTAAGATCCAAAATGTAATGTGAGGCAGGTATAATAAAAATTACTTCATTTACTCCTAAAGTGCTAGCTGAGAGATTTGGATCTCTTCTGTTAGTCATGTTACTCCTCCCTACACCATTGCTCTATAGCACTTCTCTTTCATACAGCTCCAATGAAGAGATTGCTGCCATGATTCAGAAAGGGGACAGTTCTAAGTTGGACACTGAGATACTGAAGCAGCTACTTAAACTGCTGCCTGAAGACCATGAGGTATCTATTAAGTGTGTTATTCTGATGGAGTTCAGTGTGTTTTGTGCTCAGCTTAAAACACTATCACTACAAAAGCAAGAAGCTACAACTGGAATCCACAACCCCTGCACCATCTCAGTCAATGATTTTCTAAGGTAGAGTGGTGGGAAGTCTTCCCCAGCAACAGACTGGTCTCTTCACACAGGGGTTAGGCAACAGCCTGTTGGGAGACTCAACACTGCTGTAGATCAAGTGCTGTTCTTTATTCACATTGTTTTAATTAGATGGATGAAGTACGTTAGCATTTGCGGACTTAGGTGAATAAAGAGCCTTCCAGAGCAGGTTTCAGTGAGGATAAAGGGAAAGTACCTATCTTTCTCAAAGGGTTGCTGGACTTCTGTGCACTGCAACTTGCTGAATCCCTGCCTACGGATCAGGGATTCATCCTACAAGATGCTGTACAAATGCAGGTGACCTTCCAGTCAAAACAAAACCTATGTGCTTGCCCTTACAAACCAGTTCATATATGAGATTTATTGTATAACTGCCTTACTGCTATTGTCTGTGCACACAACAAGTTCAGAAAACCCAGCTTCATGCTTGTATGAAGCAATAGGCACCAGAAATATTTGTGTGCTTATTTTACTGTTTCATTCCCTGTTAGATAAATAGCCTGAAGTCTTTCAAAGAAGAAAGAACAGAATTAGCAAATGCTGATCAGTTTTATCTCCATCTCTTGGAAGTTCCTAGGTAAGCAAAATTTTCCTTGTCTTCAGTCTATGAGTGTGGTTCTTGTAAGGTTTGTCTGTAAGAATTAAGACCTCTGTTTCCTGTGCTAGAAAGATGTTCCTGATATTCAGTCTTCAGGATAAATCACCTGACTGCTATTTCTAGAGCTGGTTTGAGAAACTTTTTCTTCCCAAAGGCTGAAGAGGCTTTCAGACACCTTTGGCAAACTACAGTTAGTTTAACCTTGATATGAGGAAACTCTTGACTGGTGTACAGTAACTATCTGTATGGCAGCAAGTTGCAGACTGCATCCTACCACAGGCCTGCTGATTCACTGCACCACTGGTTTAGAGATTCCAGTCTGCCAAAGACAGCCCACAAACCCATGAGTGAATCACAGCAGTGCCTGTGCTTTCACCCAGTCAGATGAGGTATACACAGAGAAATCTTTATGCTGTTCATAAAAACATGTTGATACGTTGTAATTCATACCAATAGCCCTCCATAAATCTGATCGGTTGCCATGCCACAACCAGAGATGCTTTTTCAAAAATTTCACAGTGAAAATGGGGCTTTTAATTGTCTAAAACTTATATCTACCTTTAAAAGTACTTTAGAAAATGTTTTCATGGCTCTTCCACAACTTTAATCCATGGTGAGGCATAAATACCGTTAAAGGACATCACTGCAAAAATATTTTAAATTTCTGTTTGGGAAGTTAAAAGGAGGATCAAAAATCCTGGTTAGTGCTGCCTAGGAACTGGGAAAAAAATATGGCTTCCTTATGCAAGGAAGTCACTGCCAGATGTCAGTGCAACATTGCTTTCTGAAAGAGGAGACAATTGTTTCTAGGACATCTTTGGAAGTATGTCTTTGATTTATTTATAATCCAGTTCTTGTGTCAGAGCATTAAGGAGAACATAATGCTGGTACTGAGCTTTGCCTAAAAATGGGCTGAACACAAGTCAATTAATCTGGCATGTGAGGTTTGTTTTTGTGGGGTTGTTTTGTTAGGGTTTTTTTCTCTTTTAGCTATCATTTGCGGATTGAATGTATGCTGATTTGTGAGGAAACAAAAATTCAGCTGGAGTGTCTGTGGCCAAAAGCACAAGCCATCAGGACAGCCTGTGAAAGTAAGTGCATCAGTGCTGTGCCTATGCCCAGGCACAGTCATAGGAAGCCTCTCTTTTACTTGAATAGCATCAGTGGTAGCATATGCTACAATCCAATAAAAATTAACTATTTAATTGCTGAATATGTCATGAATGTAAAAGTTATTCTACAGATTCCTTCTTCTAGGATTCATTTTGCAGAATTGCAGTTGTGCTGTCCTGCTCTGAAGTGGACCTTCTGTCAACATGAGTAACACACACCTCTCTCCTATCAGTGGTTCTGCAGAGAGGAAGGAAACTTCCTTTCTGTCCATGCCAGATTCTGTTTGAATATAGGTCAAATTTTGATGTGCAGTGGAGATTTTTGTCTGTAACAATAAATTGGTTCCAGTTTTTCCTCTAGTGCACACTGGTCACAGTCCAGCTTAGCTCCGTAGTGTAGCAGGCCTCAGTGACATACCAGAATCTGGTCTGACTTCCAAAATGGATGCCCCAAGTGATGCTCACCAGTGTTTCAGGAACCCCCTCCACTCAAAATTAGCCTTGGTCCTAGTTTTAAGTCATCTTTCTTGAAGTTGCTCTTGGATTCTTGCTTCAGTTCAGTAATTTGAGAGTCAGTGACCTGCTATTGAACATTTAAACTTCAAAACTTGTTTATGTTTGAGCACAAAATTGGCTATACCTGGCTGTCTGGTGTCAGTGCTATAGTTTCTCTTTACTGCACTATAATCAATAGCACACTGCAGTCCCAACTGTTCGTCTTTGTCCTCCGTCCATCCTGTTGCATGGATCAGGGTTTCTGTTCTATTTCTCCCAAAAGCTTTATTCTTGACCCAGTTTCTCCTGCTAAAATGCACAGCTTCTGGTTATCACTCTCACTAAGGATGAAAATGAGGCAAAAAGCCCTTTGCTTTTCTTAGCTTAGACCAGTATGTGCTGGAAATGGGGGCTATAGTCATTCACAAGTTTATACACTTTTTCATATGCAGTTCTCCCTCATAAGCAGCTGCAGAGATGACACATCTATACTCCAAACTCGATGGGAAAACTAGTTTTCCATCCATTTGCAGAGAAGAGATCACAATAGAAACTTACTCATTCTACTTCCATTCAGCTGATTTATTTCTGTACTGGTGTATTTCCAAATCTGTAACGATGGCTTGATGTAATCTTGGATAAGAATTTTGTTACTGCCACTGTCAAACCTAAGGAAAATCCTGTTTCAAATAATTTAATATATTGAAAATGTCTCTCTTCTTATTTTTCAGCACTTCTTACCAGTCACCGACTGCTAGTTTTCTGCCAATTGATTCTTAAAGTTGGAAACTTTCTGAACTATGTAAGTAAACTGATTTCTTTAATTGCTGTATTTCTAAAGATTAACAGAAAATACAAATGCAAGACTTGGAAACCAAAGGAAGGAATATTTTTCTGTATCTTCTAGGGGCATCACACTGGAGATGCTGGAGGCTTTAAAATTAGTGCCCTGCTCAGACTAACAGAAACAAAAGCAAACCAAAGCCACATTACTCTGCTTCACTATATTTTGGAGGTATAACAAAACTGTGAAATTGTTCCTGTGTGCATTATTCTCAAATATTTATCTGTCAGAAACTAAGGGGCTTTGACCTAAGTAGCACCCTACTGTAGGTATCTGGAGGTGAGCCTCTGTGCCTGAAATACACCGAAAACTTCTCCACATCTCTCTGTGCAGATGGGATGAAATCCAAATTAATGTTTAGAGGGTTAACATTAAATTTCCTTTCTCAAGTTCACTTAACATATCTGCTTGCTGTTTTCTATCTTTTCTTCTCCAGCTTCTGTCTTGTGTTGACATCTCTTCCAAACTCATCTGTCAAATGAAATTAATTTTAGTGGTATGATGACAAATTCTTGGGTCAGCTTGTGCACTGTGGCAGCACATGGGATGTAAGCTTGAGCAGTTAAAAGACCTTTTGCTTTCTTTTTAACTCCCTATGCATGCCAAATTGAGAAAAAGAATGAACGAGATGAAATTTATCCCTACACTTATAAGAATGAAAACTGAAGTGTTAATTTTTCAATCATGATGTTGTATAGCTGAAAAACTTTCATACTCTGAGTGACTGTGCGAGGTAACCATTTTTCACTTCAATTTTAGGAGATAGAAAAGAACCACAGAGATCTGCTGCAGCTTCCTAAAGATCTTGACTTTGTTTCCAAGGCAGCAGGGTAGGACATTATTGTTTGGTTTTTGTCATGTATAAATTACTAACCTCGTTAAGGCTAACAAGGAGCTGAGTCATTTTATGATGCTGTAATAAGGTCACAGGACTTCTCTCCTGTGGGAGAGGTTCCCTTCTAACACCAAATAATGTTGAGATTTGTAATTAATCTGGTTAAGACTTTTCATGTGGATTTTTATTTTGGATGATCCATTACTAAAACTTCACAAATGGTGAACTCCCTCATTTTCAATAATGCAATAAAAACATGCAATTTCCCTGAAATTCTTAGTCATATTCATGTGCAAGCCCATCAGGAGGTACACGCGCAGAGCTGGTGTAAGAAGGGAACGACTGGGGTGATTTACTAGCAAATGGGGGTCCTCAGGAGTCCCTGAGTTTCTAGAGCAAGTTTCTAACAAAAGTTTTTAATGTATCTGGGTAAAAAGAATAAAGTCTGTTTCTGCAGACTTTCCCCTGTGTGTCTGAAAGCCTCATGAGTCTAGTGCCAACTCCTTCTGTTGAGCTCAGAAGAATCGCAGAGAGATATGTTAAATTACACTAATCAGAATCCAAATTTATAGCATCAGAAATAACATTTTTAAATCCTGCTATGGATTCATAGGAACCTTGCAATGTGCGAGATTTCCTTGTATCTAGAAGCAGGGATAACTTTTAAACCTGGAAATGAATTAGCATTTGTTAAGTAGCTGGTTTGGTTTTGGTTTTTTTTAATGTATTTTTATTTAGTAGCGCAACAGAAGATATTATGGCTTTCCTGAGTTATCTGTGCAGAATTTAAGTTGGATGCTGTTCTGAAACATGAATTTATTTTGGGGTTGTGTCATAATAGAAATACTTTTGTTACCTGAAACTAAATCTTGATGGTCAGTGACAGAAATGTGCTGGGTTTTAAATAATTGCCTTCTACTTTAGTCAAACTTACAGAGCTGACCTGTGGAGAGCTGTTTACAATGCAAACCCTGCAAGGGACTCTTCTAATGCTGCTCACACCTGGAGGCACTGAGAAACACAAAAAATACTGAGAAATTCAGTATTTTTTATCTGGCACAAAGACATAGCACAGATTCTTTCTTAAATAAGGGTTTGAGGACACCAAAAAGGACTTATCTAGAGATCTACTGCAAAAGCAGGGTCTGGGTTGGATGATTAGCTCTACATTCATTTGCAGAGATGTTACTGTTTGCAATAATCTTTTAACTTAATGAAAACAAAAGACTCACCCCTTCAGTGTACTGTCCTTTTTGTGGACCTTTCAGAATCCACTTTGATGCTATGCGGGCGGAGGCAGGTGCCAATTTGAAGAAACTGTTGGAAATAGAGAAGCGCTTATTTTTGTCGACAGATGATGTAAAAATGCAGCATGCAAAATCTGTCCAGGTAGGTAATGTGGATGTGACACACTTCCCATCCTTCTTCCCAAACACTTTAAATCTCTTCTCAAACCCACCGTAATTCAGGTTGCATTTGCACATAGAGCTCTATGGGAAAGGGGTCATAGCTACACTCCCCCTGCACCCTGTTGGAAGGAGCATCCCATATCCCAATACCACTTCTGTAATGTGGTATTGTGATGAGGAAACAGCTGAGGACTAGTCAGCTTTGTGTGTGGGCAGAAGGAAGGAAGGCCCTAAAAATGAAATGTAGGATGCAACTATAAATGCAGACAGTGCAGTACAGAAATATGTTTTGTCTCGATGCTCTTTGGGGAAAAAAGTGAACAGATTTGCAATATGCTTTTTTTGTTTTTTTTTCCTCCTTTGCACATATTTCCAAACATTCCAGCTTTTCATGTTCTCAAAACAGGGTCACTTAAGTAAAGCTAAAAGGCAGAAACCCTAGTGCTATATCTGCCTTGATCAGTCATCCCAGGTTGTGCCAATTACCACATGGTGCTGTGATGAAAGTGGCAACATGCAATAAGCTGCTTTGGGACAAATGGAAGTGGGTAAAGCAGATGGTTCAATGAAGAAGAAACTATCACATATTGTGAACTGTTCTTAATAGTCAGGTTTTTTTAAACTAACTGCTCTAACAGGTTTGAGTCTTCTGGGCAGCTCAGAATATGTTACTTGCTATATGTACATAAACTTTGTTGTAAACTGTGTCTCAGGACAGTCTCGATGCTTCAAAGGACCTGCAGAAGGAATTTGCCAACATTGAAAGGAAAAAAGAAGAACTTGCTGATTATCTTTGTGAAGACCGAACAAAATTGTCTTTAGAAGATGTTTTTAGGACAATGAAAACCTTCAGAGAGCTCTTCCTCAAGGCCTTACAGGTGGTTTCCTTTTGTGACCATTTAGAAATAGGTTGAGAACTTTCGTGGTTTTTTAACCAAGCAAGAATTTCTTTTTTATTTCTACTCCATGCTGGGCTAAACCCCGGCTGCAGAAGTAAATGAGTGTAATTCTTTATCTTCTTGTAACATGAAGCAAGAAATAAGCACATGGGCAAATATAAAATGTGATTGATTTTTCTTATTTTTTTTTTCTTTCTTTTCTGGAGAACTAGGAAACCTCCAAGTTGCCATTCCATTGCAAAATTATTAATCAGGCCTCAATGCAATAAAAGCTTAGTGGTGTGTGGAAAAAATGAACAGCCTGACATGCTTTATAGGCTTTGCCAATAGACAAAAGATGAATTTTCCAATAGACAAATCTAATTGGAAGATATATTTACATCTAGGTGTTTTATTGTACTAGTTAGCTCAAAACAGTACGTTTTGTGTCCCATACAAAACAAGGTATCTCACAAGAGATTATATTTGGCACTTTATCAATTTATAAGGCTTGCAATAAGGAGTAAGAAAACAGGAAATCTACCACAAATGTTGTGTAGAGCACCTTCCAGCTGGTTCTCTAGAGGCCTTCACAGTTTCACAGCCCCTACTCTCTACTTCACTCCTGAACTAACATATTTCCTTTAGGGTTTTCTTAACACCCCTTTTTATCACCCCTTAAGCCAGGTGAGAGTGGCTTCAGATTTACGTATTTTAACAGCAACAATCACCCGCTCCTTTGCTGAATCCAGGAGAGCCCCAGACTGGATTTGCCTTTTATAGAGAAAATCATCCACATTACAAGAAATATTGCAAGAATACAGACATCTATGCTGGGCAATGTCAAGGCAAGAGAGGTTGAAGGAGTGCTATTCCATACATCATAGTTTCAGATGAAAACAAAGGAGCTTCTGGGGAAGTGGTGGAAGATGAAAGATGAAAAATATATCCTGAATGTTCCCACTACCTGGTTGTCCTGTGAGGAACTGGGCTTCAATTTTGCAAGCAATACAGCTGTCCAGGCTCCAAAGCGATGCTATAGCACCGCAGACGGTGTGGAAAATAAACCCTATGAACCACAGATCTTCTGTCAATACGCTTGATCCTTATAGTTCCTAAAGCTGTAGGCAGGAATGATAGAATTAAGAGTTAAGAACATAATGGCTCAGCATATGTGGATAGATATACTGGGAAATTGCTGTGAAGGGTAAATGTAACAACTGCAGTTCTTCTAAGAAGCAGTACCAATAAAAGTTATGTACTGTCCTAGTACTGCTTCAGAAGATTCAAACTACTTGTTTGGGTGCTGCTTGTTCACAATTCGGTTGGAGCAACTAGAAAGAAGCTTCTTTTTATCTACTCAACTTATAAACTCCTTTTCATCCTATTTTTGGTTTCATTTCTCAGCAGCACCTCACCTCAGAGGTACCACAGCTGTTAGCCCCATGGTATGCATCTTTGTTACTGCTATTGCAGACCTGTAATGTAATCTCCTCTCCCTTCTTACCTTGCTTTCTCTTATTACTGTAGTAAAGATACTCTCTATGCTTGAAATGACAACATGCTGGAAACTTGAAGGTTTTAGTTTTTAAAGCATATTTTTGTTGTGCAGTTTTCATTTTTACACTAGAATCAGCCATGTGCATCTCTTTACAGTGCCATTTGATGTAAGTTTTAAGGCTGAGGTGTAACCTATATTTTGAGATATCTTCTGTGTAAAGCAGATCTCTTAGCACTACCAAAGTAGCTAGTGCTGTCTTTCCATTCTCACACTACATAAGAAGGGAAACAACTATGATATAGACTGATACTTTATATCTCCTAGCCTTAAATAGAAAGATTTCGGGTTTGTATCCTTGTTTAAACAAAACCTTTTTCCATTCCCCGAGAGTTCTTTCTGGTGTCTCATTTTTTAGGTAACAAAAAATGGGCTACACAAATGAAATTACTATCGTAAGAACCTGCCCTCTTCCTCTTCATCTACTTGAAGTGAGGGAAGAGGGGGGAGGGCTTTTCAAAGTCACTCAAGTTACCCCCAGAACCGAAAAGGAGCTGGTTTGTCACCTGGGACTGATGATTGTTTCACCAACTCTTAAAAAATAAAAGGAGCAGATGGCAGGAGGAAGGAGACAAGGAGAAAGTAGCTTCCCAGCTCAAGGTTAAAAAAACATAATTGGAGATATACTGAGAACTGAGTTGTAAAATTGTGCGGAAAAGAAACACTGTGTGATTATAGGAGATTGGGAGAAACATTTGATTTCCCTTAGTAGTTGCAGCTGTTCAAAGAGGGGAGTTCCCAAAAAAGAGGCTGTCTAATCTCAGACAAAGGAGAAAAATGTTAAACAGAATATGCTTTAGGAAGTATTCAGTTGACAGAGGTTATATAGACAGCTCTGTGCAGATATAGTTCCTTTGAGTTCTCCCCTAGGATTATCAAACCAGAGCAGCTGCTCCTCAGTAGGGTGCACATGGTGTCAGAACAGGATGTGCTTTTAGTTAGTGTGGGGATAAACAGTTGTTGTGGAGCATCTTTTAATTCAAAGATCAGGCAAATATCTAACATCCCACAAAGTGCAAATCCAAAGTGATACCGTCTTTCATTCAGTCTCATCCATAAAGCTGCCTTCAGTAATCTAGGAGATGGAGAAGTGATTGTGAATACTCATTCCTCTGCCTTGTTACCAAGCTACCTTGTTGAGCTTTCTTATGGTGAAGAAACTCTGTTGAAAGTGTATTTGTGTCAAATCGTTCTGTGTATTTAAAAAAAAATTCTCTGAACAATTCTGTTCAGGCTTGCTCAATCCATGAATTTATTCTTAATGTATTTCGATTTGTTTTCAGTACTGTGTGTGTGCTGCTCAAGTAATGTACCCCTGAATTCACCTTCTTTATTCCTTGTGGCATGTTACATAGAGATATTCTCCCAGGGCCCACAGATCTGCAAGTTTCTAAACAGCCATAATATCTCAAAGATATTATGCTAGGAATTTATCAGGCAAGCACATAGGAGGCATGCAGTGATGAAAAGCTTTTAACCTCCCCATAAGACAGCACCACCTGCACCTCTTTCTTTCAGAAGCACCCTCCATTCGGAGCAAACATGTGGTCTTCTTTGTCAAAAGTACATGATTTTTTCTCTCCTCTTTTAGGCATCCAGTGAAGGTGCACCATAACCTTGAGCCCATAATGCTTCTATATTTCAGAAAGACTGACTCTATTAAGGTTCATAAATTTTCCTTATTTGTCTGGAAATCTCTTTGGACCAAAGAATTCTAGGATTTTATTTTCTATAAGGTCTCTAAGAAACTTGTGCATGCTTCCTGGGACTTCTTCAGCCCATCTTATGGAAATAGTGGCAGATGACCCACAGCAATCAACCAAATCTATCACTATAATGGGAAAATGTCTTTCCTGATACCAAACTCCCCCCCCCCCCTCCCCCAGAGAAGACCATACATGTCTCATCAAGAATCCTATCTGCATCAAATCATCAACATCTTCCTGGGCATTATTAAATTTTGTACTGTGGTACAGCAGCACCCTTCTCTTAGCATCACACATCTCTAGGACAGCAGGACAAATAACTACTAATCTACCAACAATACGTAGATAAACTACTGGCTGATAGCAGACAAAAGCAGTCAAGCTTCGAGGTGGTGGTGGCATTGTTCTGTTGATGACTGCAGCTCTGCAACAAGGACTGCATAAGCTTTTAAGAAAATGGCTTTTGCCATCTGGATGTTCTGCTGCAGTTATCCCAGTTGTTCAGAACTACCCTCAATTGTGATACTTACCAAAACCCAGAAATACTCTTCCACTGAGCCAAGGTCTTCCTTTATTAGGAGTAATCATTCAATTGCTTTCTCTTCCTCCATTAATCATATCATCTTGGTACCAGCAGCTCTGTGGAAATCAGAGTCCTGCCTGTCTGAATAAATCCCAACAGGATTTACGCCATCTTGGCAGTTGTTTGACTGGTACCAACAGACATCCAGCCTTGAGTCTGCCACTGAACACTAGTGAAGCAATACAGCTGGCAAATTTAATGGGTGCCTGAAAAGAAACTGTGAATTGCTGTTTAAGGCAAGTTGAAGAGTTCCTGAAATTTCTGGTAGAAATCCCTGAATGCAAACAATATAAAATCAAGGTTGCTATGGAATAAATTTCTAACATGCTAATTAAGTTAAGATAATGTTCTGTTTTGTGGACAAATGGGCTAATTAAGAAGAATGCATTTCAGTCCATAGTTGAATGTTTCAGTTAAAGCTAATGAAATTGTTTGCTTGTAACATCATCATATGGAGAATGCCCAAGGGATTGACCGGGAAGCTGGTCTGCTATTTACCCTCGAACCCCAGCAGCTGAAAGCTTTCAATGTGCATAGGACATATTCAGAATAGCTATTCATTGCAAATTGAGAGTTTCTTAACCAGCTTTTCTTTCAGTAACTCTCATTTTTTTTTGTCCTTCTGTCTGAATGCAGGAAAATCAAGAAAGAAAGGGACAAGCTGCAAAGTCTGAGAAAAGGAAAAAACAGCTTAAAGAAGAGGATGCAAAGAGGCCAAAGAGAGAGTATGGAAGTACATTTAACAAAAAATAATTCTGATTTTATCAGCCAGTCTTTTGTTAACTAGGAGGAAATTATCTGTTTAGCTGTAGTTGATCTAATACAATGAGAGTGATTTAGCCATGGTTGATGCGCTTGCCATGCAGATAGTATAGTAAGACATAAATTCTCAAGTGCATGTGAATTCTTGGAAGAAATCATGAGAGTGATGTTAGAAAAAAACATCACTTCCAATGAGCAAGTTACTACTATTTTGCTTAGAGGTAGGTGATACCCTGCTATAGCAATGAATAGCTGTTGGAAGACTTTTTAGGGTGTAGAAAGTTGCATACACTTGAACTTCAAGCTGCGCTGTGTCACTGTGGTAGGCAAGTCATGTTACACGTTACTGTTACCACAACATTTGCCTTTTTCTGATTAGATGTCTGATTCCTTAAAGTGGTTATGAGTGTGCTCTAAAAGGGTGACTGCTTTGCTGAAACACAGCTGATTGACATAAATACCGGAAAGCTTTTGTTGGGCTGGGCCTACCTGGGTGTAAAGCATTTCTAGTGCTACCATTGGCATGTGTATGTTTTAAAATTCTATTTTGGAAAATACTTGTCATCCACTTTCCTTGACAATTTCTGCCAATAACATTTGGTTATGATTCTTGATTCTTCAGAGAATCACTGCAAAAATGGCATTAATAAATATGATTGGAGTTCAAGTAAATATTACACCAGATGCTCACCCTCTGGAAGGCTGTAATTTCCCTTGTATCAGACGTCTTCTTTTAGCTCCTCTTTCACAGTTACTCCTTTTTATAATAAGAAATATTATATAGGAATAAATTTTAAAAATGCATAAACTTCATTGAAAACTGACCAAAACAAAGTTTTCAATATTGTCTTAACAATATGCTGCACTGCAAATATATTTTATGTACTTTGTAATCATAACATGCTTAATGTAAGGCTGCAGATTAGAACAATAAACCTTTTTGCTGTAAATACAGAAAAGTAATTTAGTATATGGTAAAATAAAATTATAAAGTGACATTCAACAGCTGTAAATATTGAAGATGTGCTTCAACCCTGTGAAGAGAAGAAGCACCTGACCAGAAGAACCTTCTGCACTTCCAACATGAAATTTAGAGGGAATTGTCATTATTTTTGGTCTTTGTGAGAAGGCAGATTTAATTCTTGGCATATAAACATAAACTCGAGAGAGCATTTAGACTGAATTATTTTTCTGTTCTTATTTTAGAAAGGTATGTGTAGCACTGGTGACAATGAGAATAAGACATTTTTAAAATCTATTTTAATCTCCATCAGGATGTGGTGACATAAATTACAGAGTGTATCACATCTGGCATGGCAAGATGTTGGAGCACACCTTAACATTCTTCAGTTTATGTAAAACCTTTTTTTTTTCTTCATTTATCATATAGTTGGCAAGTTAATTATCTTTTGTATTAATTTTCTGAGGGGGGGGAATGAAAAGACAGTAAATTGGCAAGGACAGACAAAAGAGGTGAAGATAGTAGTACCCATTGCTGATATATTATTCACAGATCACAAGGCAGGGCTTGCAGCTACTCCTGAAAGACTGCTGAGAACCAAGCTGAGTCAGAAGTTATTACCAAAATGTATGTAATTCAAATGTATGGCATTGTCACAGAATGGGTGGTCGCCTTTGGCCAGTAGACAACAGGTGTTAGGGAGACCCCTCCATTGAGTCATGAGGTTTAGAAAGCACCCCCTTGCTTTCCAGCTGATATTAGAGGGGCTGGGTTCAGCTGGATCCAATCCTAGTCTCAGACTTGATTTATGCCTAAAGATTGTGTAGTGCTTGCACCTTCTTGTCCAAATTTGTCCCTCCAACACTGTCACATTACAAGGGAGGTTTCGTCAGACCCTGTATATTTGAGCAGCCTGCCAGTTTCCCAAGAAAGATGAGATTCTTGTGTCTGACCAGCCCATCTGCATCCCATTATAGGGAACCTATCGGACAGCCCGGAGGGTGATTCATCTAACCTGTTCAGGAACCTGCACCAACAATGTCTTTTCAAACCCCTTATTTCAATTATTCAAGTCTCTGGAGACTTGCACAGAACAGACTTCAGCTGAAGTCTTTTACTACACAAAATAGAAGTTTGTGACAGGGTAATGTTCAGATATTGCCAGTGATGAGGTCTGCAAAAACAGGCTTGAAGTGACACACAACCTGACTATAATTGCTAATAACAGGTAGCATGAGTTAGTCATTTAGCACGCATAAGATACAGTTCTTACTCAAGAGGCATCCCTATGGGGGAGAAGACAGGTTCAGCGCATCAGCTGATCCCAGAAGTTACAACAGAGTCATCCCTCCTTTCCTAATTTCACATATTTATACAATTTGATTCAGGTTACTAACAACTCCCCATGAACCTCCCACATTTTTTGATTGGTCAGTTAATTTACATAATGTTACATCATTTTCATTGAAAGGACACCCTAGTCATGCTTTGCTGATGTGTGAAGCTGTATGTCGACGATGTCTGTGTACTTCCAGTCCTTCCTGAGTAGAGATTTGTTAGCTCTGTTTCTTAATCTGCCTATAGAGGGGCAAAGCCTCCTCTCCTGCTGTCAGTTCTTTGTTCGCCAGTGTTGTTCATCCTGACCTTGTAGGAGGCCCTTATAGCTGTCCAGGCCTTTCCTTAGTAGCACAGGTTTCAATTTTTTAACTATAAGCCTATGGCGCTTGAGTGACTCTAGTCATGCGTATTTTGCTACAGAATGGTGTAAAATTCTGTAGCTTTGCTTTTAAAAATGCAAATATATTTTCCTTGCTTGGCAGCTGCTATGCTGCTATCGGCACATTGTACCTTCAAGTTCTTGCTCCTACAGGGAGTATAACAGAGCCTGGCCGTGGTGATTCCACTCCACTCCACCCTACCCTCTGTTCAGTTTCTCTTAGCATATGCCAAGGTTGCAGGGTTGCCTGGGGAACTATCACAGGGTAGATTCCATGCATCCCATCCTAGAAGTAGCAGCTGCATTTTACTCTAAGATTTCCTTAGTGTTAAAACTTCAGGGGGCTGGGGGGAGGCAGCCTCTAACTTCCCCCATTTTCCCACAGGCATGATAAAGAGAACAGAGCAATATCCTAGTTGATTACATGTATTAAAAACCACTTTTCTGTGAATTTAAGATAGGATTTCCAAAATAATAATGCTCCTGCTGTTTCTAGGGGCCCAGACATCTAGGGTTTTTTTCAACTTCTCTGAACATGTTTACATATATATTTGCATTGACTTTTTTTTTCCATGCCTGATAATGGATTAAACAACTATCCTGATTTACTTTCTCCAGTTTCTGTTGCAGCAGCTTCAGTTACTGCGCATTTAAATTCTTCAGGAGAATTATATCAGATACTTACAAAGACCAATTCTAGATCTTATTTCAAATAAAAAATAACATCTAATATATTTATATATGTGTTATTTCAAAATAAATAACATACAGAGGTTTCCTTAGCTAATCAAGTGAAAAATGAGCTGCTTTTAATGGAAATTTGAAGACACAGCTAATGACCAGAGTAAGTGACAGAATAAAAACACTTAGAAAAAAAACCACAGAAGTGTGCACTTAAATACTTGGTGAGAATTTATGTATTATGTCACTTTGATATTGTAACTGCAGCGGAAACAAAATGCTATTAAAAGATCCAAAGCAAGTAAATTTTGAAGAACGGGAGTCCCACAGCGTAACTACCAGCACTCCATACAGAATCCAACTGCAAAGACCACAGACCAATTTCTTATGTTGATATATTCAGGGCCAAATTCAAGAGAGTTTTTCTCTGGCAAAATTCTTATTGTCTGTACTTAACACAGGACTTACTCATTCGGCTGTGAGTAACAAACTGATAGATGATAAAATGTCATCAGCATAAATTGGTCTTGCAATAGTAAAACCATCTACTCTTCAAGAGCTGCTGCTAAAAGCCTACTGCTTACTGGGTTACTGTTGTGTTGGTTGGCTTTGCTTTTTTAAAGCATGTAATAATGGTTTAAAAACTGTGTATTAATGACAAGTACAGCTTTCAATGCAGAGCTTACTTAGTGCATTGTACTCTTGTATGTATTTGTAATCCAGGATGTATTTCATTTTTGTGTATGTTCATTTTAGTAAACAGACATAAACAAATCTGTGAGGCTCATTAGTTGTGTTTTTAAATCACATTCTAGCAAATAAGATCCCAAGCAACTGCTTCTCTTGTGCTGATAGTGAAAACTGTTGTGGGGTTTTTATTTATTTTTAATTGCAACTGAAAGGACAGACTATATGGCTTTTAATCGCCCAAAGAAGATGGTGAATAATTGAGAAAAAGCTTCTTAATTGCATCTGGCAATATGAAACTGTTAAGCAGTTAAGTTAATTCCACATGAACTGGAAACTGCAAAGATTTTCTTATAAAAAAGATTGACCCTGTGCCCTGGAGTCAATGAGTTTCATGAAGTTCTTTTCCTGGGAGTCTGGCAGACTTCGGGACATGCTCTCGTAGGCAAATGGAGCATAACCGTATTGCATTGCTCCCTTAATCTTTCAAAACATACATCTCCCTGCAGAATCTCCCACTCATTATGCTGTCTGGAGAGGTGATTCAAATTGAACTCATTTCATTAAAATGTTCCTTTAGTGACAGTCCAAACACCATGTTGTGGGACATTAGCTCTGGTTTATATATTCCCTATTCATGAGGGACTTGGTAGCAAAGTACCTGATGTGATACCCCTCTCATAGCTTGACACAACAAACAGTGGAATAAATGTGCTCACTCACAGACACGTGATTACAGAATTTGGTGGCAGCTGAACTGCTTTTTAAGTGTTGCTTTAGTATTCGACCTAGCACCTAAAC